GAGAAAGTAACTAAACATAATAGACCCCATCCCCCAGAACACTTTATAATCCTGACTCAGCCCTAGAGTTTGCGTGAGACATCTCCACAAATATCCGGGCTTCAGCTCAACCTTTGCCTTCATCATAGGATCCATTGTTGCAGCCATGATCATGCTGGAGGACCCTGGCAGCCTGTAGTCACGCATCGCTTGTCACACTGATGCCGTAGACCGTGCAGCTGCCAAGGCAGGTGTGGCAGTTCCCGGTTTTTTGTTTTTAAGACGAAACTCTTTAATATCTCTTTGGGCTTGCATTAAGGACTTTAAAAGTAGTCTGAACAGGAATGGAAAAATTAAGAAAACAAATATAATAAGAAGCAGGGCAACACTAGTAATGATTACATAGTGTCCCTAATTTAAAGGATTCAGAGCTTTGATGTTCGCATATAAATTTCGGGCTAAATCTTCAAATCTATAATTATTAATTTGCTGTTTACTCATTTTTGATATTTGTTCTTGCAAAGCTTGTAGGTCATATGTAATATTATTATTTTTTTAAATTCTTTGCAAATGTGCTTTAGTTTTATTTTAAGTGTTGGATGCATTATACTTTGCGGGAGTAACACAGATATATTTAAAGGAGGCATGGCACTTAGTGGCTATTCTGGTTTTAAGATTAGTTACATTTTGGCCTAAAGATGTAACAACATCCTTAAGAGCATTTAATTTTGCTTCTAGCTTAACATCTATCATATGCTGTTTGGCTAAACTTAAAGATATATTCTTATGCATTTCATTTACAAATTTTGCTGTTTGTATGTTTTTAACTAAAGCTGATGTGGAAACAGCAAAAGAAGTAACAAAAGCAATAAGAGCAGTTATACTAAGTATTAATGCAGTAACAAATTGCTTAGGTCTCAATAATTTATTTAAACATTTGACTGTCTGTAAACTAACATCATCATACTATGTTATATTTTGTAAATTTACAGGTAGCAACACATATGGTGGACGTTTTATCAAAAGCATAATAGTATAATTTTTTAACATAGCATTATTTATACAATTTGATAAAATACAAAAGACACACGAAACATGGAAAGAAGTATCAGAGATTTTTTTTATATATACATTACTTTTATGACTAAGTAATAGACTATAAGGATAGTTTACGCAAGCGGTAACAGCTACAGGTTAAGATGTTTGATTTTTTGGTTTTTTTAATAGAACTATATTTGTGGATGCTAGGAGGTGAAAAAGATTATGATGGAGATAAGAATAGTTGAATTTTGTTTTAAGAATTTATATGGGTTTAATGTAGTTTGTTGAAAAGAATTCAGTGATTTTACTTCCTATATCAGGTTTGTATCTGTTAAATTGATTTTTTTTAGTAGTATTGTAAAAATAAGTAGTATAATTATAATTAGGAGAAGAGATTGAAAAATTTTACAAGTGTTTATTAGTATTAGGGATTTGAAGTGGTATTTTCTTTTCTTTAAATTTACATGTGAGTTAAGTAGGATACTGATCTTCATAAATTCAGGGAGAATTTGGGCTTTTATATTTCTTTAAATAATTAGTATATGGTAAAGGCTTAGTGGCTGTCTTAGTCTTATTTTGATTGTACTACTTTAAAGTTTTTATTTGCAATTTTTACATTAACTTTTTTGCTTTAGGTTGTTTTTTTTCTGTAGTTTTAGGAGTATTGGTTACGAAGATTTGATATGAGGCTGGTAAACAGCTTGAAGTTGAGGAGTTAGATAAATTAAAGCAAATGGGGGTGGAGTTGGACTTTTTTTCATAGTTAATGACGGAAGATTGGTGCTCAGAGATTATAAACGTAGGAGATCCCCCTAAAATTTCTGTAGCATTAGTCATGACTTTAACACTTGCTTGTTCTTGCTAAGTAACTGGATGTAAAAGCGGGGGTTTTGGAATGTAAGTCTAATACAATTTCTTTTGTACTGAAATTCTTGAGAGAAGAATGAAACAAGTTAAAAACATATTTAAGGCAGTAACAGGCTTGCCAGTTTCAGAAAGTATTTTAACTGCTCTTGCGGCGAGATTATTTAGTTGAGCTGTCGTAGGAAATTGGATGTTGGCTTGTGCTGATATCGAGCAATGGTGCCGGTTTTTCTGCAGTAGTTTTATTTTCTTTTGTTGCTTTCTTTTTCGTTTTCTTCTGACTGTAAGGTTGGATGAGACGATCAGGGATCTAGATGGGGGAGTCTTCATCTTGTGGAAAAACACAAGCATATCCTCTCCCTGCTGTAATTAGTGGATTTGGACTTCACCACTGTCCTGTCAAGAGATCTTTCTATTGGACTAGTGGCTTTGGTTTGTCTTCTTGTGGAACTCAATGTCTAAACATTCTAGTTTGTTTTTTATCATTAGTATTAACGTGGTTAAGAGAAAATAAGGCATGAGTCAATACATGATGAGGGGAGAAAGACTTGTTCTCTTTTTGTAACTTATGTATTTGTAGTTTCAATTCTTGATGAGCTCTTTTTATTATAGCTTGTCCCTGAGGATTATAGGGTATCTTAGTAACATGAGAAATATTTTATTGTTCACAAAAGTGTTTAAAGGCTGTGGAAACATAGGTGGGCTCATTATTTGTTTTGATTCTAGTTGGTTTGCTTAAAAGGGTAAAATAAGCAATAAGGTGTTGAATAACATTCTTAACAGCCTTTTCTGAATGGGCTGTAGCATGTATAGCATGAGAATAAGTGTTAATACACACATGAACATAACATAGTTTTCTAAATTTGGGTATGTGTGTAGTATCTATTTGCCAAAGGGTATTAGGTTTTAGACTGCAGGGATTTACTCTCATTTTTTGTCTATGATTACTAGGGGGACAGGCTGAACATGTTTTGACTATGTGCTGGGCCTGTTCTCTGGTAATTTTAAACTCATACTTAATATAGAAATGGCATTTGGTAGAGGGTTTGTAGAGTAAATGAGGGGGAAAATTAGGGGAGTTTCTTTAACAAAATCTAAAACAGGGTTTTTCGGGAGGTGATATGCAATCTGTTTTGCATATCTTGTTAATGTTACTCTTTAATTTTTATTTTCTTGCAAAAGAAATTTAAACTGTTGTCTAGTGAAAGGAATCACAATTTTATGCATGTCTTTTTTAAATAACTTTTTGGATCTATTCTTACTCTTAACAATCAATAAGGCACACAAGGTGGCATAAGGCAAAATATTCTTTGTTTGAATGTGAGGTAAATGTACTTACTCTATAATATTTTGTTGCTAAAAACAGTTAGTAGGAGTATAAGCAGTTTTTATGACAAGAAAATTCCATGGAATAGCATAGTTTATCTGATGTAGAGAGGCTTTTTGCAAGACCTGTTCTACTACTTTAAGCACTTCTTTTGCTTCAGGTGTAAGTTCTCTTTTTGATTTGGGGTGTGAATCTTTATGCAATATTTGAAACAAAGGGCTTAGTTCCCCTGTGGTTAGTTTTAAAAAAGGATGAATTTAATTTATATTTTTTAATAATTTTTGAAAATTATTTAAATTTTGCAATTTATCTGTTTTTATTTGCAAATGCTGTGATGACACATAATCATCAGTAATAACATTTCTTAAATATTTAATAGGCCTGTTTTCTTGAATTTTATCAGGAGCAATCAATAGTCTAAAATGAGTCAAGCTAATGGTTAGGTCTTGTAAGATTTTCTTTGTTTGATTTCTTGAAGGGTGAGCAATGAGGATATTGTCCATATAATGGATTATATATGCATCAGTGTTCTTCATCTTAATGGGGTGTATAGCTATATCTACATAT